GATCTGCAGAGGCCCCAAGGTGAAGCCAAGTATTTATTTACACTTACGTGAAAGTCATTTCTAACCCTCCTCCTTTCTGCAGCCACCTCCTCTCCGGGATGAAGGCAGTCCTTGCCGGCTGTGGGACAGCACGGGCGGGCGAGCATCCTCCCAAAATGTGAAGCTGTCTTCTCTTGCGAGAAAAAAAACGGTCAAGAGATTGCACTGCGGGTAGCGCTGGAGGGGCTGGGGTTGGTTGACGACAGAAGGACCGTGTCTGCCAAAGATGCCACCGACTCTGGAAAGTTGCTTTCTGACCCTCTGGAGCTCTGTGCCCGGGAAAAGCCGTACGGAAAGGTCCGTGTTTGGAGTCAGTGAGATCAGAAAAATGAAGGAAAAGTGCCAAAAGAAGGGATCACGCCAGATGATTGTATAATGTTGTTCTATATTGTCAGTATTTTTCTTCAAATGCTATTGTACATGCAGTGCACAGTAGGCATGAAGTGTAGCTTGAACAAGCGCTTCTTTGTATTTTCTCAGTGAAAGCAAAGGGGGAGGTTGAAGCCTTAAAGACTATCACTGATTTTAAAACCAAGCCTTGCACAATGCTCCCAGGACAGACCCCAGGGCTCTGCCTGGACCCTCCGACAGCCCTGTGCCATCTCCCAGTTGCCCAGCGAAAGGTTGAGAAGGAGTTTGTCCCGTGCGCGGAGGGGGAAGCGTTTCACAAAAGCCTGGCCCCTCTCGCCCGTTGGGGGACCCGGGATGAAAACTGAGGACTGTTGGATGTGACGGTCTCGCGTGGCATCGTGGTGGAGACCCGTGGGACGTCCTCCTGGATGGCAGCTGGGCGGAACTGGGACGTGACGCCGGTTGGAACTACAGCGCGGAGACTGGGGTGATCCCCACGTGTCGCACGCATCCGACACAAACCTTTCTCTTCCCCGTGTCTGTAAAACACCGCGAAGCATCAGCCCTAGAATTAGCTCTTCACTATGCAAACGGAAAAACCTTCCGCTGGTTACAAGGGGGGTTGTGTATGCCTGGTTTCCTTGGTATTTACTGTCAAACTGTTTAAAACAAATCTAGATGTTGCTACACTTTTTTTTCCCGATAATGCTTTAAATCGTTGCGCTTTCGTGTTCTCCTCAGCTCGCCAGCGGAGCACCGGGGTGATAAAAGACTTACCAACCGGTGGTCTTACCAACCGGTCTCAGCTGAACCACCGTGGCTTCATCCGAATGTTTTAAAAAGCGATGGAAGTTACTGAAGGACTGTTGACTTGCATGTGTAAAATGCGTGGGTAAAATGACATGCAGGCGTCTGTCATGTTGTGGCTTCTGTTATTTGGAACAGAGTAAATCCTGCTTGTGAAAAAAATTGTCACAAACCAGAAATACGCCAACTGTGTACAAATAATGTGTACGTTTTAACAGCAACGAGGACTTGAACTGCAGGACAAAGGCCGAGGTTAAAACAGAATAAAACCAGGTTCTGACAGTGAGCTGCCTGTTTTGCCTGAAGTTGCTGTGCTTGGAAAGAAGCAGGCTCCTACTGCTGCCTCTCCCAGCCGGGTTACGGTCGTCCCTGGCTGCATGAGGTTGTTGAGTAATGTCTCGCAGGAAAAAAAATAGAGGTGAAGGTGGGTATAATGACGTGTTTTTCATGTAGGTGAGCAGCCGGTGGGAAGTGAGCCGCTCAGGATTGTACCACCAGCGGGGCTGGGACGGAGATGAAACGTGGCCAGTGCTCGGAGACCCAAGTCCTGCTTCATCTTGGGGGCAAAACCACTTTGAGTGCAAGGCCCTTCTCCCAACGGCTGGGTTTGGGGTGGGGTTAATCCAGCCAAAGGACCCCAGCAGTGTCCCGTGTTACATTTACCCCTCTCTTAACCAGTAGCCAGAGCATCAGGGTCCGACCTCGGGGTGGGCTGAGGGCGTTCAGCAAGCGAAGGCCCTGTCCTCTCCGCAGGGACCTGGGGGGAGGCTGCTGT